AGGGCTGGCCGCGGAGAGCTCGGCCGCAGCCCCGGGCCCTCCCTCCGGACGCCTTTACCTCTGGACGCCCGTGCCGGGCAGCCGCCGATTTCCCTGCGGAGAGGCGACTCCAGGTGCCCCGGGCCCGGGGCGGCCCCTCCCGCCGAGGTGACGACCAATGGGGAGCGGGGCCCGCGCGCCGTCCGCCCGGGCACCCAAGAGCGCGGCGCACCGCCCCCTCCGGCCAGGCTCGGGTAGCGGCCGCCCAGCGCGGCTCCCTGCCCCGGCGGGCCCCGTCCGACTCTCGGCCCGCAGCGAGGGAGCGCGAAGGCTGGCCTTCGGCTCTGCAGATGGGAGGTGGGGGACAAAACACCCGGACAGTCTGGCGAATGACGGGAGGGCGGTGGAGAGGGGGAGGGGTGGAGCGGAAAACGCCGGGTTTGAATCGTGGAATTAAAAAAGAGGGCAGGAAGGGGAAGCCGCGGCGGAGCTGGGCATGCTGGAAGGGAGCATTTGCTCGCGGCGCGCAGGGGCACTGAGTCACCGCGGTGGCCGCGTCCTCGCGCCCGGGAGATTTCTCCGGAGAAAGCGGAGCAAGGTCAGCGGGCAGCCCTTCAAGGACGGCGCGCGCGGCTCCTGCATGCTGATGGCCTGCGGGGCTGCCGCCTGCGCTCCGGGCACCCAGCTCCTGCCGGGAGAAAATTCCGAGGCTCTACACCCCCGCCCACGGGCCCCCCCCCCCCCCCCCCCCCCCCCCCCAGGCTGCAGCCCGCGGCCGGTCGTCAAAGACCTTGTTGTTACCAAGACACAGGGACCCTGTCTCATCCTTAGAACCGCTCGTAAAGCCTAGGTCAGGCAGGCAGCCGCCTTAGGGTACCACGGTCGCCAGAAGCTTTAGTAAGTCAGTAAGTCTGGAAAGGTCTGTGCTTCAGAGTGCACGCCAGGGAAAATAAACAGAAATGCAATGCCAGAGTCGTGCCTCTTCAGAAATCCAAGCCCCTAAATGCGCTCCTCTTTTCCCAATCACACCCCGCCCTGCGGGCTGGGCGACAGCCCTGCCATCCTGACACCGCGGTCTCTCGAGGCCCGGGGTGTCACGTGCCAGCGGCGTTCACCTCGCTGCATGATTTCAGGGCGCCGCTTCTCAGGGCCCTCTAGCCGCTAGGGAGGTTCTGGAGGCAGGGCAAGGACTCAGCTCTCGACGGGACTGACTCCAACCGCAGCCAGCAAATAGAACTTTGATGAGGACTCCCCTGCTCCGGCCTTACCCTTTGCTACTTCGTTCTTCCAGCCGGAAAGAGCAAGGAACACGGGGGTAAATCTCGTGATCGGGGATTCATCAATAACTTGGAATGCGTGTTAATTGACAAGGTGGAAGCGGACCCTGTGCTCGCTGTAAAGGGTTTATGTACCAGATATTTAGCTATGAGGTCATAGGTAGGCTTTTTAACCAATTAAAGAAATAACGCATAACCATTTAGATGGCCCATTATTATAATCGCGCCTGTATTTATTTGGTGTCTTACAAGTGCTTGCTCTTGCGCATATCAATTGAATTAGCGCCTCCCAGCCTCTAGCTCACCCACTTTACAGTCCAAAGGATCCAAGTTCTAGATGCCCAAAGTAGCTCATCTAGCAGGAAGTCTTTGGAATGGGAGATGTGACATTTTCTCCCACACAGGCTTCCTGGGAGGCAGACCAGGGCCTCCCCCACCGCCTCACCCCTCACCCAACGCTCCATTCTTGCCGTCTTTAACTTCTTAAAAATTTTTGAACTAGGAGACCCCGCACTTTGCTTTGCACTAGGCCACACAAATGAGGCAGAGGGTCCTGCGCACGCATCCAAGCTGAGAGAGTACGGATGTTCCACTTGGTTGGTCCTCACCTGTGCAGCTCGTAAGGTACCATCACCACTCCAGGCAAGACCCTCTTGTTTCCTTTCTTCTGCTTGCTCCCCACCCCTATCAGGTACCCGCTCTGATAGTTGTCTTTTAATGCACAGTTCCTTGGAAAAACAAAATGAATCTATTTTAAAATAAGAAATCTAAACGATGCTAAAAATGCACAGCTTGCTGAGATTTCACGAGCTGAACACACCCATGTAAGCAGCACACAGATCAAGAAACAAAAATACTATCGCCGCCCCCCCACCACAAGACCCCTCTTCTGCTCTTTTCCAGTGACAATGTACTCAAGAGCCACCACTATTCTGACTTTTAACCCCAAAGATCAGTACGTCCTATTCTTGCCATTTTCTACAAATAGAATCCTACATTATATATTCTTTCGTGTCTGACTTCTTCCGCTCGCCGTTGGCTAGAAGATTCATCCATGTTGTCGGGCGTGGTGGGCAGAATTCTAAGATGCCCCCGGAGATTCCTCATCCTCTCCTAATTCACACTTTCTCCCAGTTACTCAATCAAACGTGAATCTAGGTGCTGCTGTGAAGAGATTTTGTGATGTCATTAAGGCCCAAATCAGTTGGCTTCAAGATAGGGGAGACTATTCTCAGTGGGCCTGATCACATGAGCCCTTAAAAGGGACTAAGCTCTTCCTGGCAAAAGAGCTTTGAAGTATGAGACAGATGGACGCGAGGGAAGTTCTTCATCGTTGGCTTTGCGGACAGAGGAGTCCGCATGACAGGAGGTACGGGCGGCCTCTGAGAGCTGAGAATGGCTCCCGGCTGACAGGCCCCAAGGAAATGGGGGACCTCAGTCCTCCGATCACAAAAAAAAGGCCCTGAGTTCTGCCAACAACCTGAATGAAAATTAGGAAGACGGTCTGAGCCCCAGCCTGTGAGGCCCTCTGCCGAGAAGCCAGATTTCTCGGCAGCTGTGAGCTGGTAAGTGTGTGTTGTTTTCAGCCACTAAGTTTGTGGTCTCTTGTTTCACGGCGTTAGAAAGCAAGTACTTTGTGTGCTATCATTTAGTTTGTGGATACACTTCTAGTTGGTTCCATCTTATTTCTGTAGAGAATGTCATGGCTGGCCTGGAGCATGGCTTACTTATCCGTTCTACTGTGGATGGACCCCTGGATAGCTGTCTCCAGGAATTTTCCAGTGTATGCTTTTCGTGACTATATGCATGCATATCTACTGGGTATCACTATTCAGAAGTGAAACTGCTAGATCACAGAAGGTTCCACTTTAGTGATTATTGGCAAACGGCTTCCTGAAGGGCCAGGTTATTTTTTTTTCATAGGTATATTATTCAAACCTGCCATGACCTAATAGCAACTGGGCCCCACCCTAGCTGACAATAGCATTAACTAGCTAATCTAACAGCAAAAAACCAAAACCAAAACCAAAACCCAAAAGGCAAAAAACACTGAGCCAAGAGCCAAAATAGTCAAGAGAAAGTAACCACTTAACCCTGGGTACTGGCTCTTCTCAACGGCCCCGTCACCTGCAGGGATCAGCAGTGAAGGCTGATGCTGACTTTGGCCACTTGATAGCCGGCAAGGAGATCAGCAGTCGTCCAGTGCGCCTCTGACGACATGGCTCGTCTAATCCTAACGGTGCCTGAGATCTCACCATCTTTATATCAAGTCGGGAATTACCTTTAATGTACACACAAACACAAGCACAGTCTGTGGAGTCAGAGAGCAAAGATCGCGCAACACGGACGTCCGCAGCCCCTGTTGCGGCTATTAATACGGATCCAGGTTCCATTTTAAGCCGAATTTATATTCTGGTTGTGGGATTGCAGCAAACACTCAGAAGGCCTCGCAAACAAAAGAGTAAACACATGGATAGCTGATCGCCATGCCAGATTCAGCGAACACCATTTTTATATCCTAATTGCCAGGAACGGGGACAGCTGCATCATTGTTGAAAACACACACGCACGCACAATTAAGCCAAGAACAAATGTCAACACTGGCACAATCTGCTAAATTACTGATAACTGATGGGCATTACTCATGCTGTGAGCATCGTCTCCCATAGAAAATGAAAAGATTCCTTTTTAAAAAAGACCTTAGAGATTCCTCCTGGTTTAAGGAAGCTGGGGTGTGTACTGTAACGGCACAACCACAGCCTGCCAGATTATGTAAGTGACATTCCAACCATGTGTTCAAGGAGTTTGTGATAAGTACACGCTGTTCTTGTGCCTCTTTATATTTGTGTGAACAAGACAGGCTCCAAGAGGCTGATTCCTGGTTTGGGGACACTTTGTCTGTGATGAAGGTGTCTTGCAGCCACTGAGCAGAAATGCCCGGTGATAACCTCATACTCTAGAGAGACGGGGCTTGCCATCGCGTGATCCAAATGCAGACACCGGATCCCGCTTCTTCCGTCGTGCTCTCGGTAGGTTATTATTACAGAATAGAACTAGAATTTAAACCCCCTTGTTCAGTTCCCTCACAAAGTACGAGGGGTCTTCGAAATAACTTATTAAGTGATCCTGAACAAGGCTATGAAGTCACGTTTTGGCCTTCACGTCTCCAGCCTGAGAGGGCACTTCCTCTGGTCTTAGCACCACCTCCCGGGGATTCCTCTCCGGCACCTGCCCCGATTTACCCACCCCACAGGTGGAGACATGCTTCTTGTTATTAATCCACAACGGCTCCTGGATCGCAGAGCAGAAAGACCCATTCCCCTCTTGGGAATGTCACGCTCCCACAGGTAGCCGGAAACAGCTATCCTATTTATAATGAGGTCACTCCGAGCGCGTTTAGATGACACGGTATCTTCTTTGCTCACCTTAAAGGCCAAGCCCTGGGGTAGAAACACTGGGCTCAGGTTCCGCCCTTCGAGGAGCTCTGACAAATTCAGCTGAGACAATGTTTTCCACTTCCAGCCCAGTGCAGGCTCCTCGACACCTTGGGGGTCTGTAGATTACTAAAATTTCAAGAGGATGCCCTGTGAATACAGCTGCTTAGAAATGTTTAGTGTTCCTTAGACACCTGAAAAGCGAAAAGGAGTGAGTGCCCCACTATGATCATCCATTTCTAATTTTTTTTTAATGTTTATTTTATGGGGGGGAGGGGAGCAGAGAGAGAGAGGGAGACAGAGACTCAAAGCAGGCTCCAGGCTCTGAGCTGTGAGCACAGAGCCCGACACGGGGCTCGAACTCACAAACCGAGAGATCATGACCTGAGCTGAAGTCGGACGCTTAACTGAGTCATCCAGGAGCCCCTGATCATCCATTTCTAAAACACCAGAGGAGATTCCCAATCCCAACGCCATGGCCACAGCAAAGTGTGTGTCATTTCACGTCTGTCCGAGGTTCTAAAAGCTCCAGGCTTTCAGTGGATGTGGTGGGAGTGTCCACAATGTGGTATCACGTGACGTGCCAGGGAAATAAGAATCAGTAATTCACAGCCTGTGCTCTTGAAGGAATATATGTGGCAGTGAAGAAGACAGAGCTCTTAGTAGAAGTATGCCTCTAACCCAACTGGGGTGGCAGGGTGGGGCGTGGAGGAGCGGGAGGAAAGGCAAAGAAGGGGTCCAAAAGAGGTGGTGCTTGCCGTGAATTGTGAGGCGGAAGGATGATGAGCCAAGGAGTAGGGCAAGAGGAGCAATGTGGACAAAGCCTGGCAGTGGGGGACACGGCCCCGTCCGCTCAGTGTGGCTGGAGAGGTGAGGCCGGGTGAGTGGGCAGGAGCCACAGCATGGGAGTTGGGATTTTATCGGTGGAACTATTGCAAGACTTTAAGAACGGGAATAATATGACCCGATTTGCATGTTAGTTAAATCCAGCCTCCCGGTCTGTAGAGAGCAGTTTGAGGGAGAAACGCCTGAAAAGGCATGGACGTGACAGCCTCTCTTTTCCCCGGCCGCCATCAGACCCCTCCCCGCTGCCGCAGGCTCACGTACCCGCCCTGGGCAGGCCGCCCCACCATTTCTGTCTCATTGCGGTACTGGTACCGGCTTGAGAAGGAATTCTCTGCCCCCTTGCAGGGGAGCCGGCAGAGGGTAGAGGCACAGGATTACTGCCTTATGAAAGCTGTCTCTGTACTCAGCGCTTTTTCATCCTACTCCTTTGGTAGTCATGGAAATCGGGTAGGCGTGGTCAGCGCCCGTCCACTGCACGCGCTGCAGTCGCAGAGCTGGTCTCTAAGCCACTCTTTTTGCCACTTTCTGGGGTTCCCTCTGCTCCACAGATTCCCGGTGCAGAAATGCTCTCTTCCTCCTCCCTCTGAAAACCCTGCCTTTGGGAAAGGCTCTGATAGCTTCCATTTATATCCTAGAGTTCCCGATGGAGAGAAGCTTAACCCGAAGGATCATCTGTGCCTGTAATAAAGGTGATGTCCTATGAGAACTGCACTCAGAGCAAGGTAAAGAAACCCACAGGTGACCATCACCTTGACCACATCCTCAGATGTTTTCAGTAGTCGAACGGGGAGTGGTTTTCTAGAGAAATACATGCCCGATATTATAAGTAGGAGTTAGTGGAAATAGGATTTGTTTTAAAGGAAATTTCTCGTCAGCCAACAATGTCAGTACTTACACTGGAAAAACAACAGAGTTGATGGAGTCTGCCGGAACGCCCTGGAAACAGATCATCGTTCACAAGTGTGGTCACCAGTGTGACAGTCCGAGCCCAGCCGTGTTGTGGGTTTGCCACCACTCACAGGCCAAGTAGACAGTGTGTATGCCAGGGGTCAGGAAACTTTTTCTGAAAGGACCAGACAGTAAATTCTGTAGGCTTTGTGGGCCATACAGTTTCTTTTGCACATGACTCTGCTGTTGTAGTGTGAACGTATCAACGATATAGAAACAAATGAGTGTGACCAGAGGTGGTCACAGGCTACAGTTTGCTGCCCCGGGTCCATACTATGTGATTTGCAGAGCCCCATGCAAAAAGTCTTACCCACTGAACTAAGGAGTCACTGTGGAAGCCATCCCCCCATGTTCAGGCATTATGTCTACAAAGGCCTGTTAATTATAACATGTTAATCTGTCATCCACCATCAACACGTTTGCACAGACTCAATTACCCTTGAAGTACAGCCTGGAGATCCTAGGATGACATTTCCATGCATAAAGTGCCCTCTCACTTTGACCATCTGCTCCATAAATACATGCCCCTGGTCACCAGGGACTACTGAACACATAGATGGGTTGCTTGGTGAGACTCTATCTCACTTCTGGAGACAATAAATTCTTGTGTCCTAGAGGTCATTGTGTTAGTTAAGATCTTTTGACCAAAGTAACAAAGGCCACAGAGAAATTTATTATCCCACATACCAGAAAAACTGGAGGAGGGGCAAGGATCTACAATTGGGTAAACAATACTTTTAGAACCCAGATTCTTCCTATCCTCTACTCTGCCATCTAAAGAATAGGCTTCTTTGTAAGAGTGTCCTCATGTTCATATGATAGCTGCCATCAGTAATTGGGAAGATAGTAGGAAAGAGAGAGAGAAGAAACCCCTCCAACCTAGACCAGTAATAATCACCAGAGGGATGCCATGTGCTGATTGGCTTACATTAGGTCCCTGAGCCAATCACTGATGAGGGGATGGTATTCTCCTACTTGGTTTAGTCTACTGAGAACCCTCCCCAGGAGCCAGGGTCAATCCCGGAAACCACATGGCTGCTTACACAGATGGAGATGGAATGATGTTGGAGAGTCAACCCCCACGTGCACCAATCAAGAGCAGCATTTTTTTCCACTTACGTTTCCTTTCCTCCTTTTGATGGAGCACTGTCGCTGTGATTGAGTAGTGTTGACGACAAACAAGACAGTGAGAAGATGTGCCCTTCTGATGTCCCAAAAATGTTGTTTTAGAACCATGAAGAGCATCACCTGTGGCCCTGTGTCCTGTCCATCTCCCCAAACACACACACACACACACACACACACACACACACACACACACACCTTACAGGTTCACTGATGCTAGCTAGCATCTCTGACTATAATCACCAAGCTATTAGTAAAAGAAAGAAGCCAGGCAACAGGTCAGCCAAATGACAAGTGTGGAAACAGATTATGTTTATGTCTGAATGACTTGGTGTTTGGCTGCAAAGGCTGTGACATGCTGGAGAAAGCAGCTGCCAGCATGGTGGTGGGAGGGGGCTGCAGGACAGCAGGAAGGAGCTCAGGATGGGGAGTCAGAAGAGACATGCTTCAGGTCACAGCCCTAGGAGCTCAGGAAAGACATCTGCCTTCTCTAACCCACTAGCGTCCTCACGTGTAAACTGGAAAACATGGTATCTAGGTAGGAGTTTGTGGAGATTAAGTATAAAAATGTAAAAACATGTTGTAAGCTATAAAGCTGTATAACTCTAAGATAAACAGCATTATTTACAATGGCCGGAGATAGAGATTTCACAGATGTTGAGTCTCAACATATCTCTGAAGGTGGTCAGGCGTCATCAGCGGCCTCCGTCTTCCCCCGGCAGCACTGACTACTCCAAGAGCCCAGAAATGTCTGCTGCCCATAACAGCATCCACCAGACCCGGATCCGCCCCCTCCACTCTCCTCCTCCCGAAACTTACCCATCTCAAGTCTCACTGTCCCATCTCCTTAACACACATCTGAAACTAACATAAGGAAGTGTGAAACGGTGGGACAGCACAGCCTTAAGGGTCAGAAACCTGAATTCTAGATCTGGCTGTAACACTAACTGGCCACCTGAATTTAGGCTAGATTAACCTATTGGTAACCATGGACTTTGAACCTATAAAATAAGAGACAGTTGTGGTTTTTCTAAAACTTTCTCCAGCGTGGAAACCTAGCTTCAAAGCAAAAACGGTGCTCCGTGCCTGCCATCCTTCCCTCCATCCTTCCTTCCTGCCCTTCTCGGCCTGAATGGCAGCGCAGGGGCTTTGCCAAAGCACAGTTTGAAAACCAGTGAGCTAAATGATCCCTCAAGGGCCCATTCATCTCTACAGTCTCTAACTCAGTTTCTACTTCTAAGACAAATTACTTCACGCTAATGTGAGGGGCACTATAATATGGTTCCCCCACCTAGAATCATTTTGTATTTAAGTAGGCATTCTCATAGATGTATGCTTTTATGAATTAACAAATACAGATGGAATTTCAGACACCATGAACGTGAAAGAGGCCATTGGGAGACTCCCTGATCCCCTAAAATCACTCGACTTGGGTTATCCATCCAGCTTTCACATAGGGCCTAATCTTGAAGCAGTTAATGGCATTTTTCAGGGTGGTGAGTGACCCAGTGGTGGTGAGGCTTCCCAGTTTTGGACCCGCCTAAGCCTGGGCTCCCATCAGCTCCATGGTGAACCGCGAGGTCCAAGGAAGACAAAGGAAAGTCATCGTGTCTTTCACGTGACAGGGCGGGGAGGAGTATGAGTTACAATCCGGTACAGAAATCCCTCAAGTAACAAAGCTTCATATACACATTTTTTTTTTTCCTGTGACATAACAGATATTCAGAGGTAAACAACGCGAGGCTGGGAGAGTGGCTCCATTCAAAAAAGTCTTTGAAGATCCAGGGAGGGGGGACCCGTGACCAGTGGTGGGTTCCATGTCAGGAACCAGTCAGCCACGAGGAGGGGGCAACAGTTCCCAGAATTTCAGTTCTGGGATCTATACATGGGTCCAGACTCTCGAGAATTTTACCAGAGTATCTCCAGATTCTTCAACATAACTTTTAATGTCATTTGAATAGATGCAGATTAGAGCTGCATACGTAATCGGGTATGAACTTTAAAAATACATTTGTTCTCAATAACTATATGCTACAAGGTTCCTATTTTCTTTTTGACCTTTTTAAGAAGTCTAACATATGTACCGAAAAGTACGCAAGTCGTGGCACACAGCTCCACGGATTATCACAAAGTGAAGACACCCGTGTCACTACCGCTAAGAAAAAGGAAAGGAGGAAACTGCTGGTCCCCAGAACCCGCCTCGAGCTCCCCTCAGTCTCATGTGCCCTGTCAGGTCCTTTCCTTCTCAACTCTGTCCTATCCTTGTCTTCTCTTCTGCTTGCCTCACTCCCCCGGCCTCTCAGAAACCCGGGGAGCAGGTGGTGGTGGTAGTGATATGTTGGGGCAGTTTTGCCTTCTGGCACAGTGGCAACAGCATGACTTTTGGAGCCACATCTACCAAGATCTAGATCGTAGGTCCTCTGATCAGCAGTTTTGTGAATCCAAGCAAGAGGCGGAAACCCTCTAACACCTACCCAAGCACTGGCCGGTGGGTCAGACCACAGTACTGCAGTATGCCGGGCACTGCGCGCATGGTGGCCCATGTGACCGTCACTGCGTTTTCATTTTTATTCTTTTTGTTGGGCCCTGTGAGGCAACACTCGTTATTTCTATTTCACAGATTAGTGCCAAGAGGCACACTGAGGCCAAATGACTTGCCCGGGCCTGCATAGTGGGTCGGCGACACAGCGAAGGCTAGACTCGGAGCTCTGAGTCTGGGCCGGCGCACGACCTAGAGCCGTAGCACTCGTGACCCAGAGGAGCTGAGACCAGGGAGGCAGATCGCACGTGCCTCCGGGCCCACAGCCACCCAGAGGCTTGTCTGGCCCGGAGGTGCCTGGTTCTTCAACAGATTCCCCGTCACCCTCATAGTCATCTCAGCCTCGCCAGAAGGTTTCCTAAACAGACACACAAATGCCAACCTTACGGCACCTGCTAATAAAAACTGCCTCAGCAGGAGTGAGTTCCAGGGGTGCCTAATAATAACCGCAGACACGGAGGAGCAAATGGCTGGCCGTGCCAAGAGCGCGTGGGACCCTCCAGGACCAGACAGAGTGTGGGCCAGTCAGGGTCAAGGCAGCGTCTGCAGCCAGGACAGGGGCGGGGCCTGGAGCTGGCAAACAGGGCACCTGGCGGGAAGACGAGGACAGTGAACCAGTCAGGCCCCATCCCGGCTGTGCTGGCAACGCTGGGGCAATTCATGCCATTACCCAACAAACACGACTCGGATAATGACCCTGGGGAAGGCACTGGGTGATACCTGGCTACAAATGGTTGGGGGGCTCAGAGGAGCATTCCTCTCCCCTCCCTAAGGGGTTGAGGCATTTATTTAGAAGGGGCCAGGTCTTTCCTTATATTAGAGACGTAAGACTGACAAGCAAGTAACCCTAGGAGAGGAGGCCTAGGGATGTGTCCAAAGTGACGTACAGAGGACAAGGATGAGAGCCTCCCCTGGAGGCAGCTGGCTAAGCCCTGTGGCTTCTCCTTGTCCACTCTAGAAGCCTCTCCTCATCTGGCCCCGTCCTGTCACAGCTCCTCACCTGCTCTCTGCAGAGGCTGTGGAACAGCAAAGTCAACAGCACAGGCACTCGCCATGTTATGGGCACTGCTCGTGGTATTTCCCTGCCGGTAAGTCATTTAATCTCCCTTGAGTGACAGTAGATGAAGGGGAGGAGCTATTCTCAAGCCTGCCTGTACACAGGAGGGCACAGATGCGCCATCCAAGGTGACAGAGCTAGTAAGAGGAGCAGATGGGATCCGGACCCAGGCCATCGGGTCCTAGAGCCCACCCTTCAGCTTCTGTGTTGATGTCACTCTGCAGGGTGCTGGTTCCCTCGATTCTCATGTTCTCTCCGGTGCCACGGAACCACAGGGCCCAAGGCAGGGTCAGTCTGCTCCTGGGTGGCCCCGACTGAGCCCTTCACACCCTTTCAAGGCTCTCATCACAAGGTCCCACCCTCTTCTCAGCCCGGTCTGTAAACTCAGCGTTTGGCACTGAGGCTGGCTGCCTTCCCCTCCGCCTCGCCGCCGGCCACCAGGCTGAGGGTTTGGGTGGCCAGCCGGAGGATGCAACCAGCAGCCAGCCTCACGGGCCTCCACCTCTCTGCACTTGCACGGTGGCCCCAGCGCGGGCCAGGCACAAGAGCGGCGTGGCCGAGAGCTTGGGCTCTGGGGTCAGGTTTCCTGCGTTCTAATGTTGACCCAGCCAGTTACGTTTTGCTCCCTTGGAGAAGTGTCTTGGCCTCTGTGAGCCTCAGTTTCTTTCTTTATGAAATAGGTTAATAAAAGAAACTCCCTTCCAGAGTTATGCTAGGGATTGAGATTGAGCCCACTATCACCTACTTAAAAAGGCAGTCAGCTGCATAGGAAGCATTCAGGCAATGTTAGTGCTTACTGTGACCGCAACTTGTCAACCAGCTCTGAAACCATAAAATCAGAAATTCTACTTTCTAACCACAACTTCCCGTTTTCAATTAAAAAAAATTTTTTTTGATGTTTATTTATTTTTGAGAGAGAGAGAGAGAGAGAGAGAGAGAGAGAGAGAGAGAGAGAACGAGCAGAGGAGGGGCAGAGAGAGAGGTTAGACACAGAATCCAAAGCAGACTCTAGGCTCTGAGCTGTCAGCACAGAGCCTGATGCGGGGCTTGAACTCATGAACCGTGAGATCATGACCCGAGCCAAAGTCAGATGCTTAATCGACTGAGTCACCCAGGAGCCCCTGGTTGTCCATTCATTTTTTTTTTTTTAAAGAAATTTTTTAAAAATTTTAATGTTTACTTGAGAGAGAGAGACAGAGACAGAGACAGAGTGTGAGTGGGGAAGGGGCAGAGAGAGAGGGAGACACAGAATCGGAAGCTGGCTCCAAGCTTGGAGCTGTCGCCATGGAACTCGACGCGGGGCTCAAAGTCACAAACCACAAGATCATGACCTGAGCTGAAGATGGACACTTAACCGACTTAGCCACCCAGGTGCCGCTTGGGTTTTCATTCTTAAAGATCTTCTGCCCACAGTAGCCTACTCTGCTGTGCTAGTGTGCCAAGGGCTGGAGTCCCCATTCTCCAGTGTACCGGCCACCCCCGCTTCTTGTCCTTTCCTGCTCCGTTAAGACCCCACGGGTGATCCCTTTACTGACATTCTTATAATTACCCACAATTTCCTCATGCTTGGTCTGTTTCTATTAGGATTAGTTTCAATGGTATATCATAGAAAACCCCAAATAACAGTTCTTAAAATCATTAGTGTATTTTCTCTCTCACATAAAAGAAATCCAGAAGTAGTTAGCGCACAGGTGGGATGGTAGGTCTAAGTGCCTCAGGGACCTGTGCTCCTCTTCTCTTGCTGTTTTTTGGTGTTGTTTTTTTTTAAGCACATTGTCTCCTTGTCCAAGATGGCCGTTAGAGCTCCAGCCACGGCATCTCCATTCTAGACAGCACAATGGAGAAGGAGAGCCTCCCCAACCAACACCTTCCTCTCCCATCCCATCAGCTTGAACCCAGTCACATAAGCTCACCTAGTCACTGCTTACCTCCTGTCCCAAATAAGAGGGAAAAAGAGGGAGGACGGTCCTACCACTGTACCTCCCTGGCCAATCCACAGCCAGTGATGATTTCACCATCTACTTCTGTTTCCAGGCTGGCCTGCCGCTGGAGAAAATAACACAATCACGCTGACACACACCTCTGTAGGCTGTGGCTTCTAGCCCAGCTGAGCCCCCCACACTCCTGGACAAGGCCTTTTTTCCTCTCTTTTGCATGCCTCATGGCAGTTATTCCAAGAATTCAGTCACTTTCCTGAAACACTCCTCCCACCCTTGGCTCGCTTCCTCCTTCCCTCTCCCCTGTTTAGATATCCTTGTCGCTCCTCTGAAGCAGCTCTAGCTGCAAACAGAGGTGACCGTTGCCCTGGCCGGAGCAGACCTCTTTCCCCTGAATCCTACAATCAACAGGAATAAACCGATGAGAGGCCCTAACAACTACCCGTTTCATCTAGAAACTGTGTCTTTAACCACAGCATCCATGCTTCACTCTAAAGGAGACTCCCAAGGGAGGTCAGAGGCCCCCAAGCAGGCCGCCTCGGGATGCTGCAGGGGCAGTGGTCCCCTCAGCAGCTGACGGGCCTCAGAACAGAGAGCGATTCCCCCCGAAGAAAGCTCAGCATCCTTTGGCTCCCTCAGCCCCCCCCTGACACTTGTGCCAGTCCCTGTCCTGACTTCACAGTGGCCCGAGGGCACCAGGCGCACCACCCACCTCTGCAAAGAGGCAAAATGACATGGGAGAGAATGTCAGTATTTCCCCACGTTGAGGGGACCGTGTCCATATTCTTCTGGAAACGTCCCCTTCGAGTTCCTGGCTGCTTATAAGGAGCAGGCTGAGTGCACACGCCCCTGGGTTTAGGGGCTGACGGAGGTAGCCCCACCCTTCAATAGATGCGGGGGGGGGGGGCCACCAACCCCTCCCGCACAAAACCTTGGTTCCTGCCCTGCCGGGAGGGCGTGGAATTGGGGTGCTGCTCCGGGGGCTCACGCGGGTTCTCGCGGCCCCAGCCGCATCCACCGTCCTCCACCGCTCCCATCGGGGCTGATGAGGGCTGGGGCCAGGAAACTGCTCAGGGGCTAAGGGTTCCTACTCAGTGTGAGAAGTCTGCCTTACAGGTTGCTATAAAAAGGAGCAAAAATAACAGAGGTGCCTCTTCGTCTGTCTTTATGTTCCCCGTTTCACTTATCACACACATCTTGCAATAGCTACTCATTTTCACATTTTCTTCAGTCACTTCCTCCCTCCAACGTGAATTACCTAAAATAACAACCTCTCAGGGTCAGCCTCAGCCATGCATCACAGGCAGCTGCTCCAGGGTAAGGACTGTGCCCAGAAGAAGCCTCGGGTGACCGCTGCCCCATCACCATCCCCCAGACTCTCCAGCCCATCAGCGGCACCATGGCCTTTTCTGCAGGCGGAGGCAGTACTGAGCGAGGAGGCCTGGGGACTCACCTCCCACTGCAGAGGCCGGGATGACATTGGAAACTTTCCTGCGGGCGAGGTGGGCTAGGGGAGCAAGAGAGGGCAGGACACAGGCCATCTGGCATGGAAGGAGCACCTGACCAGAGATAGGACCTGGGTTCTGGCCTAATACATTCTGTCAGCATGCTGTGTGACCATGGGCAAGTTGCATCCCCTCTCTGGGTCTCAGACTCCTCATCTGTAAAATAAGAATGTGTGAGGGTCCTTCCTGAGCTGGGTCCATGCCCGGAGCCTCTCCAGCATTCAGTCCTGGCCCCTAAATCTCTCTCTTCTCCATCCCTCACCAATTAGGCCTGTCGATGCCTTAGTCAACTGCCTATTCATAATATGTTGTGCCTGGTCTAATGTAGTAGACCCTGGACTGTCCCCTTCCAACTTCCCCCCAGCCTCTAGAGTCTGTTCTCCACACTGCCATACTGTTTAGAACCCATCAGGGGCGCCTGGGTGCCTCAGCTGGTTAAGCGTCCAACTCGTGATTTCGGCTCAGGTCACGATCTCGCGGTTTGTGAATCCAAGCCCCGCATTGGGCTCTACACTTACAGTGCGGAGCCTGCTTGGGATTCTCTACCCGCCCCGCCCCCCACCCCACCACCAACTCTCTCTTAAAATAGATAAATAGACTTCAAAAAAAACAACAACATGGGGCGCCTGGCTGGCGCAGTCGGTTAAGCGTCCGACTTCAGCCAGGTCACGATCTCGCGGTCCGTGAGTTCGAGCCCCGCGTCGGGCTCTGGGCTGATGGCTCAGAGCCTGGAGCCTGTTTCCGATTCTGTGTCTCCCTCTCTCTCTGCCCCTCCCCCGTTCATGCTCTGTCTCTCTCTGTCCCAAAAATAAATAAACGTTGAAAAAAAAATTAAAAACAACAACAACAACAACCCACCAGGCACTCTCCACTGCAGTCAACTCTTTAGCCAGGCAAAGATTATCACTGTCCTACTCTACGTCTCTTTCTACAGCTCCCAACCTCATTCACAAACATTTATGGAGCACCTGCTATGTGCCAAGCATTGTTCCAGGAGCTCCGAATACAGCAACAAACCTTCAAGACTCAGTTCAGTTGTCACGACCCCTGGAAAGCTTTCCCACACTCCTTCATGCCTACCTGCAGGGTGAGTTCATGGCTTCTCCCTCTGTGTGTGCAAGCTGCCACGCCTGTCAGATGGCGATGGTGAGATAGCGGCTTCCTTGCTGTATCACCGATGGGCATACCTAGGGAAGTTATGTTCCGTCGCTCTTGGCCGAATGTGATGGTCAGTTTTATGGGTCAACTTGGCTGGGGCCAGTACCCGGTATTTGGTAGAACACTATTCTACATATTTCAGTGAAGGTGTTTTTCAGATGAGATTAACATTTAAATCAGTAGGCTTTGAATAAAGCAGGTTACTCTTCATAATATGGGTGGGCCTCGTTCAATCAGTTGAAGGCCCTAGGAGAAAAAAGATCCACCTTCCCCGAGGAAGAGGAAATTCTGCTTCTGGACTGCCTTTAGACTAGAACTGCAACCAGATCTCTTCCCTGGATCTCCAGCCTGCCGGCCTGCCCTGCAAACTTAGGACTCACCAACCCCCACCATCACGAGAATCTATTCCTTAAACACACTCTCTCTCTTTATATGCACACACACACACACACACACACACACACACACCCGATTGGTTCTGTTTCTCTGGAGAACTCTAATACACTGAGTGAACGGTTCTACCCTCGTTCACACCCCCCCCACACACACACAATTATCTGGTACCAATGGCTAAAGAAGGTGTAGGAGGAGTAGGAGGAAGGGGAAGAAAAATGGATAGTTTTTTCATATGCTTATTAGCCTTTTTTTATATCTTCCTTTATGAAGAACCTACATAGGTCTTTGGTTCTTTTCATTATACTGTTGTCTTTTACTATTGATTTGTAGGAGGCTTTCAAAGTATATTCTGGGTACACATTCTTTGTCAGATATAAGTGGCTTGTAAATATTTCCTCCTGGAGTTCGGTCTGTGTTTTCAATTCTTAATGTTGTTTTTGATTAGTAGAAATTTTTAATTTTAATGACGTCCAATCTATCCATTTTTTTGTTATGATTAGAGACTTTTGTGTTCTAAGAATGTTTTCTATAGAAGCTTTACAGGTTCACCTCTTGCACTTAAATTTATGGCCTACTTCAAATTCATTTTCCGGCATGGCATGAGGCAGAGGTCAAGGTCCACTTCTGCTCCATAAGGACATTCAGTATTCCAACACCATTTACAGAAAAGACATTCTTTTTGCCTGTTAAATTCATTTAGCGTTTCTGTTAAAAAGCAAGTTATACTATATGGGTTTACTTCCAGATTTGATATTCTATTCCATTTATCTATTTAGTGATCCATATGCCAATACCATATTGTCTTACCTATTATAATTTTATATGTCTTGAAACCTGGCAGTATAAATTTTCCAACTTCAATCTTTAAGACTGTTTTTCTTATTCTAGGTCCTTCTGCAATTTCATGTACATTTAAGAATAAGCTTATCAGTTTCTGCAAAAAGCCTAATGGGATGATAATTGGGATATCATCTTAACAATATGACATCTGGACCAAATTAAGTCTTCCAATCTATGAACATAGAATACCTCTCCATGTATTCATACCTTGAGCTGCAGCCATGTTCTGTAGTTTTCAGCATAAAGGCCTCCCGTGTCTTTTGTTAAATTTCTTTCTAATTATTTTTTCTGATATTATAAATAGCATTTTAAGAATAAACTATTCTTAGAACGGCTTTAGATTAAAATGTTTATTAATGTTCATTTATTATTTTTGAGAGACAGAGAGACAGAGTGTGAGCAGGGGAGGGGCAGAGAGAGAAGGAGACACAGAATCCAAAGCAGGCTCCAGGCTCTGAGCTGTCAGCACAGAGCCCGACGTGGGGCTCGAACTCACGAACCATGAGGTCATGACCTGAGCCGGAAGCTTAACCAAAATTGCCACCCAGGCGCCCCAGAAAAGCTTTAGATTTAAAGAAACATTGCAAAGGTAGGACAGAGACTTCCTCTATAGCCCACACTCAGTTTCCCCTATGGTGAACAGATTACATTAGTGTGGTGCGCTAATTATGGTCACAATTAATGAACCGATATTGATATGGTGTTACTAACTAGAGTCTAGCATTTTTTAATATGTCCTTAGCTTTTACCTAAAATCCCTCTTCTGCTCTAGGATCCCATCCCGAATGCCATATTACATTTAGTTGTCAAGTGTCCTTAGGCTCCTCTGGGCTGTGACAGTTTCTCGGACTTTCCTTGTTTGTGATGACAGTTTTGAGGAGTACTGCTCGGGCGTTTTGTAGAATGCCCTTCAGTGGGGTTCATCTGCTGTTTTTCTTGTGATTGGACTGAGCTCATTGGTTTTTGGCAAGAAGACCACGGAGGCAAAGTGCCATTTTCATCATAGCGTGTCAAGAGCACATATCATCAACATAACTAATCACTGTTGATTTTGACCTTGGTCACCCGGCTAAGGTAGTGTTGGTCAGCCTTCTCCACTGCAAAGTTACTCCCCCCCACCCCCTCCATACTAGACCCTTTGGAAAGAAGTCAGTAAGTGCAGCCATACTTAGTGGAGAGTTATGCCCCACATCTCTTAGGGTAGAGTATAAATTACTTGGAATAATTCTCCATGGGCCATCTGTCCTCCCCCATTGATTTATTCGCCCTCTACATCCCTGGTAATGTATACATTAGTTGCCACCTGTGTCTATTCTTTGGTGAAATTTCTGTTCAGATATTTTGCCCATTTGATAATTGGGTTGTTTTCTCATTCTTGATTAAATGTTTACACATACATATATATTGTATTTGTTCTTCCAGATACACGTGTGTTTTTTGCAAGTATCTTCTCCCAGTCTGTAACTCATCTTTTCATCCTTTCAACGGTGTGTTTCAAAAAAAAACAAAAAACAAAAAACCAGAACTTTATTTTAATGAAGTTCAATGTATCTTTTTTCCTAGTGGGTGTTTAGGGTGTTGACTAAAAACTCCCTGCCTAACAAGAGCTTAAAGATGGTCTCCCTGTTTTCTTCTGTCAGTTTCACAATTTCAGGTATTCCAGTTAGGTCTGGGACTCATGTTTTCTTAACCAGGAATTCCTTTGTTTAGAGGCAACTGTTGATAGTTGGCATTTCCATGCAGTTTTGTTAAGCCGATGAGGTTCACAGTGTTTGAGGACACTGCCTTTAAAAATCAACAACGACAAACACAACTGTATTTTTCAGTTGGCAGTTTTAGGTTCACAGCTCACTTGAGCAGAAAGTACAGAGAGTTCCCATGCGCCCCCCCCCCCCCCGCCTACCCCCTCCCCACATGTACAGCCTCCTCCACCATCAACACCCCCTCCCGGAGCAGGGAAATGTGTTCCCGTCCCTGCACAGGCACATCATTATCATCCAGTCCATAGTTCATGCCACAACAGTTCACATGGTGTTGTCCAGTAGATGGTTTGGGACAAATGTATAATGACATGTATCCACCCTTAAGAGTATCATACAGCATAGTCTCACTGCCCTAACATTCCTGTGCTCTACCTATTTATGTCTCCTCCCTCACCCCTATCCTTACCAACCCCTGGTCTTTCTACTGTCTCCATACTTTTGCCTTTTGCAGAATGTCATAGAGTTGGAACCGCACAGGATGTAGCCTTTTCAGATTGGCTTTTTTTCACGTAGAAACGTGCATCTACGTTTCCTCCGTGTCTTTTCACGGCACGGTAACTCATCTCTTGTCAGTGCTGAGTAAACATTCCATTGTCTGGATGTGCACAGTTTATCCTTCCACGTCTTTATTGATTCCAAGTTTCGGCAATTATAACTCAAGCCGCTATAAACATCTGTGTGCAGGTTTTCGTGTGGACACAAGTTTTCTGCTCCTCTGGGTAAATACCAAGAAGCAGGGTTCCTGGATCATCTGGTATAAGAGGATGTTTCATTTTGTGAGAAGTTGCCAAGCTGTGTTCCAGCACGGCTGTGCCAGCAACGAATGAGACTTCTTCTTGTTCGACATCCTCGCCACCGTTGGGTGTTGTTAGTGTTTTGGATTTGGGCCATTCTAATAGGTTGTTTTAATTTGCAGTTCCATTATGACATATGATCTGGAGCATCTTTTCGTATGTTTACTTGCCATCCGTATGTCTCCTTTGATGAGGCCCTTTGCCCATTTTTAAATCGAGTTGTTTTCTTCTTGTTGAGTTTTAAGAGGTCTTCGTATATTTAGAGTAACGATCCTTTATCAGAGATGTCTTTTGCAAATATTTCATCCCTGTTTGTGTCTCGGCTCCTCCTTTTCTTTACAATGTCTTTTGCAGAGCAGGAGTTTTTCATTTGAATTAAGTGCAGCTTGTCAACGATTTCTTTCGTGGATTACGCCTTCGAGGTTGTAGGTAAAAAGTCATCGTCATACCCAGGGTCATACAGATTTTCACCTGTGTTATCTTTCAGTCCATTTGCCTTCCGCGTGCATTTCTGTGAGGTTGTTGCCTATTTCTCCAAGAAATCATAAAGACCGTGAGGTTTTAAATCTCTGTATTCTCCACAGCACCTTGCATACGGTAGAATGATAGCTGAACAGGCCAGTTTACCAACAAGGAAAAATGAAAGTCTCATAATTCCAGGCTGAACCCTACCTTTCTGGCTCCACAGTTCTCTCTGTACACATGCGGGTAGAAAAATAATGACGCGAGGTCACAACAAAATTGTGAAGTCCTGGGAGTCTTCTGTATACCCACCCTCCCTTTCCTATGACCTTGCCACCCTAGGCGGCCTCCGTGGTTTTCTCATCTTTTTGCTTGGTAGCTGTCCAAAAGAGGAAAAAAAAAAAAAAAATCATCTGTGCTTGAAAGCAAAGCTCATTCACAAGAATGCTTGCCAGTTTCTTTTATGCCATGAAAACATTTTTCTCTCGTAAGAGAAATGAGAAGCATTAATAACGAGACGAAGAAGGTCTTACGGGCATGTTGCCCTAAAATCATGCCATACCTAGCACTATTCCTGAGGAGTATGGGGCAAGATCTGGGTCTGTGCCCTGAAATGTGTGTCTGTGTGTGTCTGTGTGTGGGTGTGCAGGAAAGAGAGACGGAGACATCAGCTAAGAGACTACGATTAATAGTCAATAGATTGCAGTGTTTACACAGGGAGAAGAGAAAAAAAATGTAATCAGTTGTCAATATAAAAATGATACTAACGGCAGTTGTTCAGAACTGCTTTGCCATTTCTAGCAGATTGTCATGCAGCGTTAAGTACAGAAATCAGTGATTTTTAGACCCTTCTTCAAAGCATAGGTTTCTGCGGCCCGTGCTCCCAGGGCCCCACCCCCATTCCACCTCTTCCTCTACTTAGGAGATGTCATTTGAAACAAAGTTTCACCAAAGATGAAGGAAAGAGAAGAGGGACCAGGGGGCAAACCATGGACACGAAAGATGAAATCTAGAGTAGATAAACTTGTGACTTGGATTAAACTTTTTTCTCCCGTTCTGAAAAAAAAAGCAGTACAGTACGAGGGTGTGACCAGATATTACAATGCATTACAAACGCTCCATAATGAAAACAGTGTGGTAGGGGGGCACCTGGGTGGCTCAGTTGGTTGAGTATCAACTTCAGCTCAGGTGATGAACTCGCAGTTTGGGAGTTCGAGCCCCACATCGGGCTCTCCGCTGTCAGCGCAGAGCCCGCTTCAGATCCTCTCTCCCCCTCTCTCTGCCCCTCCCCCGCTCTCACTCTCTCCCAAAAATGAATAAACATTTGGAAAAAAAAAAAAAAAAAACCAGTATGGTAGTGATACTTGAATGAATAGATTACTAAAAGAACAGAATCGAAAGTCCAGTTATAGACCAAAACATGCACAGCCATTTGGTAAACAGTGGAGACAGCTTATAAAAGCGAGACAGCTACTCTGAATCGTGAAATGATCCTTGACAGGGAGACAAATGAGAAATCTCTCGAATTCTTGGAGGAGGTACACTCTGAATGGGGCCTCTACTTTTTCTCCTTCTACCCATGATTTTGGGTTTGCCGGACCTAAAATAAAACACAGCACTTGTCGTAATCGTGTGTTCTTTTCTAAATTCAGATAATTTGGGGCAGCTGGACGGCAGGCTGAGTTCCTGCTTCATTAAGTAAGTCTCCGTTCACCAGAAAGCCCTTCAAAGCTGCTTGCCTCGTGCCCTCCGGCCTCAGGCTCCATGTGCCTCCCTCTGCGGGGCCAGCCGTTCCTGGGCAGTGAGGCAGAGCTTGTCCAGAGGCCAGAGGCCCTTTCCACCCCTCACACAGGCCAAGGCCCAGTTACTGTTAGAGCAGAGAGCAGCTCTCCATGCGGCTACCACTCTGCCTGGCTCCTAGCCCCTGAGTTCCGACTGGCCTGGGGTGCAGCGTGGCCATCACAGATTTTTAACTCCCCTCCAGTTTGTTTCAAGTATGTAGCTAAGGTCGAGAATGACCATCATAAATTGTAAGGCATCTTTCTTTCCATAACGTGTGGTACATCGTTCTCTGGTGCTGGGTGGTTAAGTAAGAGAATATATGTAAACGGGCTTTGAAGCTACAGTGAATGTCACCTATTAGTGTCATCAGAACCTGCAGGGTGAGGGTGACAGGATGAGGCTCTCAGACCCTCAGATGCTCCCATTGTAGCTGCTGTTCGGTGACACGTCGTGCTGGGCGGCAGCCGGGCCTTCAGTTACCAGTGCTGATTTCAGATGGACCGACCTCCTCCATGTTTTTCCTAATAACTCGCTTGCTCAAATTACAGGGGTTGTCGCCGATCCCTCGTGGGAGTTCTCAGGTGAGCAGGCTTCGTGAGTCAAGAAGCATCCCTGCTGCCCAGCCCGACCCTGAGGGTTATAGCTGCCTCTCTCCTTTTCCACGACTGCCCCTCCCCAGAAAGCACAGGCCGATGCTGTTTCTGAAGAGCCATCCATTCCACGACTCAGGTCTCCACACTGCCTCGTGAGGCACCTTTAAAACACTTTCGTTGTAGCCAACTTGGTAATATGTTGTAGTTTTCCACCTAATTATCAGTCTAAACCTAGTTTATTTAAAAATATACGCACTTGGGGCGCTGGGTGGCTCAGTTGGTTGGGCGACCGACTTCGGCTCGCAGTCTGTGAGTTCAGAGCCCCGCATCGGGCTCTGTGCTGACAGCTCAGAGCCTGGAGCCTGTTTCGGATTCTGTGTCTCCCTCGCTCTCTGACCCTCCCCCGTTCATGCTCTCTCTCTGTCTCAAAAATAAATCAACGTAAAAAAAATTTAAAAAAATATACGCACTTTACTGCACCCCAACGTTTATAGCAGCATCATGTACAATAGCGAAGATATGGAAGCAGCCCGGTGTCCATCGACTGATGAATGGATCAAGATGTGGTATGTGTATGTATGTGTGTACACACACACACACACACACACACACACACACACACACTGGAATATTACTCAGCCATAAAAAAAGAATGAAATCTTGCCATTTACAATGATGTGGATGGAGCTGGAGGGTATAATGTAAGTCAGAAAAATAAGTCAGGGAAAGACAAATACCATGTGATTTCACTTATATGTGGAAAACAAAACAGAACAAAACAAATGAGCAAAGAGAAAGGGAAAGGTGGCGGCGGGGGCACGGCGGGGCGGGGGGGGGGTGCGGACAGGCAAATCAAGAAACAGACTCTTAACTTCAGAGAACAAACGGATGGTCACCAGAGGAGAGGTGGCTGGGGGGATGGGTTAAACAGGTGATAGGGATTAAGAGTGCACCTGTTGTGATGTATGGAAGGTGCCGAATTACTATATTGTCCACCTGAAACTAACATTACACTGTATATTAACTAATTGGAATTCACATAAAAACTTAAAAAAATTGTATACGCACCTTTTTTTTATTCACTAATTTATATGTCAACCTTGGGGTTTTTGTTGTTGTTGTTGATAGCTTGATCATAATAGTAGACTTTGGTTTCCAAAATTTGTTTCATTTACCCATTAAATACAAACAAACCAGTGGTCAAGTGGACACTGAGTAAGTTTCAGTACGGCTTACTAAATAATTTTGGTAAAAAACCACCACATTTGCTAAGTGAAGTAGGCATGGAGATTTGAACTTCACAAAATTCATTCTGTTCATCATAAAGCAGTTGGCTGGCTTGTCACTTTATTCGGTTAGCCCCCCTCTGCCCTTGGATCCTAAGTGGTCCTGGGTCATAGCTAAATCTGAAGAGTGGGACCCTAGGGCAGGGGACCTCAAGGAGAAAACTTTGCAGACCTCCTGCTACAGACTAAATGTTTGTGTCCTCCCAGAATTCCTGTGTTGAAACCTAACCCCCAGTGTGATGGTATTGGGAGGTGGGGCCTTTGGGAAGCAATTAGGTCATGAGGGTGGGGCCTTCAAAAATGGGATGAGGGTCTTTATAAGGGGATGAAGAGACCAGAGCTTTCTCTCTTCAGCACATGCTACAATGAAGTTAGTTGACTGCAATCCGGAAGCAGGCCCACAGCCGGACCCAACTCAGACTTCTGGCCTCCAGAACAGTGAGAAATACTTGTCTGTTGTCTGTAAGCCACCCACTCAGTGGTACTTTGTAAACTCAGCCCAGAATAAAGCACTTCTTAAATTCTCCTAGGCCAGGATGTCAGTTTTGAGATTGGGTCCATGTTCCTTATTTGTGCAGTGTTCTACTTGGCTCCCTAACAGGACCATGCACACTTATACGCAGGAATCAGCACAGTCCCTTCTCTGGTGCTCCCATAAAACTCAGCACTGCTTTGGGCATAGGCTAGGCTGCGAGTGACTAATTCTTTAACCCAGAGGAGGCTTTACCATGAAGCTGAAGAAACTTAAGTTCCTGGGACCCCTTGAAAGGCCCTGCAAGGGCCCTAGTAATGTGTTTACCTAGTCATATGCATTTGTAACATTTGTAAGTAATGCAACATTTACAATTATAAATGCATGATTTTTTTTAATGGGAATTGTGAAAAATCAAGTGTATCAGAATTCTGGTGTTTTTCAAACACAAACTATAGTGAGTGGACTACAAACAATGGGTGCATCTGTTTGTGAAGCTGCGTCTTTATGCATCTTAACTATCAGCAATAAATTCTGATCAACTGCTAGAAAACTGAACTTTCTGTTCTCTCTATAGAAAATATTACAAAATATGAAAAGACAAGAATATGCAGTAATGTAGGAACACTGTTTTATAGAACTATGTCAAGCAATTAATAAAAGCATCTTTTCCTGGGGCGCCTGGGTGGCTCAGTCAGTTAAGCGGCTGACTTCAGCTCAGGTCATGATCTCTTAGTCTGTGAGTTCGAGCCCCGCGTCGGGCTCTGTGCTGAGAGCTCGGAGCCTGGAGCCTGCTTCAGATTCTGTGTCTCCCTCTCTCTCGGCCCCTCCCCTGCTTGTTCTCTGTCTCTCGCTCTCAAAAATAATAAACATTGAAAAATTTTTCTTTTTAATTTTTTCTGGACTTTGTGGTATTTGTCAGTGTGCAGTAAAGGGTTAACTCAACAGATTCAGACTGCACATTCCAAAGAAAAGATTCTCACCCTTCAAGGCCTCCGGAGAGAGAATTTCTGAGCTCTTGGAATATCCTGATAGGCGGTTGTTTTTAAATACCTGAGGCCTTGGGCCACATTCTATCAGTTTGAACAGGTAGTTTATGCTAACAGTGAGACTGAGAGTGAATGCCTGCTCTTATATGTCCAAAGCCCTGGGCAATACTCTATCAGTTTGACCTCTGGGGGGCTGGAGACTGAGCGGCTAAGGTCAGCTGCCCGGGAGCTGCATGCCCCTGTGACTGACACCTCCCCCCAGTAAAACCCTAGACCCAAGCCTCAGGACACTTTGCATAAGCTGATGCATATCATGGGTGGGAGAATTAAGTGCTGCCCATGCAGCTCCCCCGGGAGAGAACAAAGCCTGCATCTGGTCTCTCCTGGACTCCACCCTCTCTGCCTCTCCCCTTTGCTGGTTTTAATCTGCATCCTCTCACCGTAATAAACCACCACTAGGAACGTAACTGCTTTTCTGAGTCCTTCTAGCTTAACACTGAGCCTGAGGGTGGTCCTGCAGACCTGCAACATAGCTTTTCAAATTTTGAACTGCTATAATCTTTTTCATTCTCAGTAAATATCTACTTTCACATCTAACCTTCTATTCCTAATACTGTATTTCCCAAAGAGGGACCTCAAAGTTGTATAATTTTCAAGTTCTACAGAATGTGTATCCACCCTGGGGCGCCTGAGTGGCTCAGTCAGTTAAGTGACTCCAGCTCAGGTCACAATCTCACGGTTCGTGAGTTCGAGCTCCGCATCGGGCTGACAGCTCAGAGCCTGGAGCCTGCTTTGGAATCTGTGTCTCCCTCTCTCTCTGCCCCTCTCCCACTCGCGTTGTCTCTCAAAAATAAAAAAAAAAAAAAATTAAGAAAAATGTGGATCTACCCTTGAGGACAGGTTCTCTGGTCTCTTGGACCTTTTCTCATGCTAATACCTTCCCTTGGGATGAGTCAAGACACCTGAAAATTTCCTACTTCCTTCGGTTTTCTGCCAGAACTTTGCTCTCCCTCCTCCGAGGCAGTGTCGTTACCCTACCTCCACCATCCCTAACACTTCACACATGACTTTATTTTAGCACTTGTCACATTACAACATCATTGGTTACATTTCAGATGCACGTGTGCCTGCCTTGCTAGGCCAGGCTAGGCCTGGCTCTGTCATTACTCCCTCTGGAAGGGGGGGGGAAGACAGAAAGGGGCAACGTGGTGAGTCAGAATTGGCGTTTATCACCAGACAGATGTTGAGCCCCCCCCCCCCCATTTACAGCTGTGATGGGTTGGGCAAGTTTACCTCTCAGTGCCCCAGTCTCCTTGATGGATAGTGGGTGAAATGCACTCGCCTGAGAGGCTATCTTGAGGACGGTGAAGGTGCAGGTGAAAACACAGCCAGCAATCTGAGTAAGATGCTGGAACGAGGAGCTCTGAACTCGAATGTTGTTTTCCCCACCTACTGGCTTGTGACTCTGGGCACCTCCTCAATGTCTCCATTGTGTAATGGAGACAACAGTGCCTTCCTCTCAGGGTCAGTGTGCTGATTAAGCGAGCTAACCAGTGCCTGGCTTGTAGTAAGGGGTCAGTAAATGTTAGCTATTGTTAGAGACTGGAGGAAGGCGAATTCCTTTCTGTTTGGCAGCATGCGTAGCAGGAATAAGTCTGTTCATAAACTCTGGCATTTGTGTTTATTTCGTCTAAATAAATATGATCCTGTTTGTGTCTCCATCCAGCTCCCACTCACGGAACAGATAGGAAATTCAGCCTCAGGTATGTGGTGAGCTTCCCCCACACCCAGACCCAAGAGGTACTGGCGTCTGAGAGGTCCCAGGTACCAGTCACTGGCTCCTGCGGGCACTCTGGAGTGCAGGTTCTTTGGACATGCTTGGGAACTGAGTTCTTGACACACCTCTGGCTGTCCTGTACCGGATCGCCATCAGAAACCCACTGTCCTCTCCCCACTTGGAAGGCTGTCTTTAGTCTGGGTAGGGAAAACCATCCTGACCACCCCAAGGCCCTGCAGCAATACTCCCTCAAAGGGCCAAAAGCCAGGGTAGCTTCCTAACTTAGCACAAGCGCCCAGGAGCTGGCACCCCCTGGGGTGCGCAGTTACGCTGGGGTGCGAGGGGAAGACGGAGTGGAGGAAAGGGGAAGAAGGAAAAGGAATTGGAGCTTCAGCGTGTGCTTCTGCTACTCCTATTGCTGACTGCAGCAGGCTTTCCATCACAGCTAGTGCTCTCTCATGTACAAGGGAGCCTCTGGAATAATTAACCTTCCCTACAGCAGGTGCCTGGGCCTCAGTGAGCGGCAACTTCCTATACTCCTACAGGTCCACTCACCTACCCCTTCATTCCAGATATGGACCCTACTTGCAGGCACGATGGTTCTTAGCCCTGGCTGCACCTTGGAATCTCTCCACCCACCCCCCATCTGGAGCTTTTAAGAAGTGCCCATCCTGGATCGCCATTCCCCAGGAA